TTTTTTTTTTTTTTTTTAATATTGAGTCTAAATATATTTTTTAACTTTTAATTTTATATCTAATACATCATTTAAAATTTTTAATATTAGACGCAAATTAAAATTTAAAGAATGGTTCCTTAGTCTGAATTGTTCAATTTCAATTTGGCTTGGTCAATACAAAATGACAAGTAATTTTGTAATAAAAGGGCAAGGAATGGGTGTTTTGGTAATACCAACGGATAAAGTTACTCTGACGACTGGTATGTTGTATATAAGTGATATCCACGCAATTGAATATTATCTGTGATCCAAGCGGAAAACCCAAACCATCAGGCTGAGCTTATAAATCAACCGCCGGACCGCCGTGAAGGATCGCCGCCGTGGCGGCCGGCAAATGTTAAATCCTCTCTCTTTCATTATTAGTTAATTTTGTTGTTGTTTTTTCTTTTTTTTTTTTGGCTTCGCGTAGAATTGTAAAAGGCTCTCTTCATTGGAAATGCCTTCGAAACCCTCTGCATCGTCTGTTCTAATAGACCGAATCAACGGCTCCGATTCGACCACCGCCTCAATCCATTGCCAGAAAGAGAACCAGAAATGGTTCCAGGTGCCGAAATCTGTGGCCGTTTACCACACGCATACGGTGGGGCCTAACCAGACCTGCTCCGCCGTGGTCCAAGAAATCGCCGCCCCCTTATCCACCGTCTGGTCGGTGGTCCGGCGGTTTGACAACCCTCAGGCCTACAAGCACTTCGTCAAGAGCTGCCACGTAGTCGTCGGCGACGGCAACGTCGGAACCCTCCGGGAGGTTCACGTCATCTCCGGCCTTCCCGCCGGCCGCAGCACCGAACGCCTCGAGATTCTCGACGACGAACACCACATCCTCAGCTTCAGCATGATCGGCGGCGACCATCGCCTTGCCAACTACAGATCCGTCACCACACTCCACCCATCGGTGGCCGACGACATAAGTAAAACTGTGGTCGTTGAGTCCTACGCCGTGGATACGCCGCCGGGAAATACTAAAGAAGAAACCACCGTTTTCGTGGATACCATTCTGCGATGCAATCTTCAGTCGTTGGCTCAACTCGCCGAGAATTTGCATAAACGCAACAACCAGTCTCCGCCGTAAGTTAACTTCATTAACTTGAACATTCACTATTTTTCTCTGTTCGTTTCTTCAATTTCTGGCTTAATTGATTGTCTATAAATTTTCGTGGGCAACCAAATGCCTTTTTCTCTAGAATTTTCTCTCTCTTTTGTTCTGAAGTGTTTGTATTCAGTTCATATTTTGGGTAAAAGAAGTTAGTATTTTATTTCAAAGATAATTATAAACTTACAATGGTTATATTGTACCCTTAACCGATAATTAAGAAAATAAAAATGAAAAAGATAGTATTTTATTTTAAAGATAATTATAAAGTTAGTGAACTTTTAAACTTACATTAATATCATTGATCTTAAAAAAAAAATCATATTTTTTAAAAAAAGTTCAAAATTTTAAAGGTATTTTCTATAATCAACTTTCTAATATTTATATTATAAAAAGAGGGTAAAAAATCGTTAAAAGGGTTTAGAGAGAGAGGAAGTAACATTGTTAAGGACAGAGGAGACAACTATCGATCGAGCATGGGGTTTCGGGTTAAGCCAATCCAATTACAAGTTGTACATTTGATTTGAAAAAAAAAAAAATTAGTCACATAATAATCAATTTATAAATTTTATCAAACTATAGAAATTAATTTGTAACTTTTAAAACTAAATGGACTTGTAATTTTCTTCTTTTTCTTATAAGTTCAAGTATGAACAGAGATCTAGGTTTTTATAAGTGTACGAAAAAAAAGGAAAAGTGGGAAATGTGAGGAATTGGATAAAAACAGGAGATAGCCCAAGCGAGACTATTATGAATTATATGGAAAATTTTGGGCACGTGAAATGGGCGCCATTTTGTGTTCAGAAAGCTCTGTCAGGACGTCGTTAGTGGCTGCAAATGGGCGCCATTTTTTTCTTTTTTTTCTTTTTTTTCTTTTTTTTTTTTCTTTTTAATACTCGGTCAATGAAGCCAACCTTCAAGTGAGGTAATTGTACAGTCAAAGTCAAACAAATTTTGGTCCGATTTCAAAGCTGATTCACAGACGTTCCATGATAGCTGGAAGGAGCAGGAAAAGAAACAGAGTTTTAAATGATCAATTATTTATGCTAATAAATGGAATGTCTCTGCAATTATTTTGGAAGCAGCCAGCCGGTTATAAAGATTTTTAAAGGGTAAATTAGGAATAATGATAAACTGTACCAAAAATAATTCCAGCTATGAGAACATAATTGATATGATATACATCTAACAGAACCAACCCAAGCCGTCAGTCCCTTTCAATCCATGGAAAATTATGGACAGCTATATCAAAGAAAGGAACTGAAGGTTGAGCCACACAAGTTTTACTTACATGATGGATGCCACAGACTCCAATCCATTCCCACTTTTGTCCACAGGGCAAAGCGAGCTGCCTTCTGTAATCAATGCACGTGATGAATGCCAAATCTTGTTAATAAGGAAGGCAGGAGGATTCATAGCCGACGGCACATGAAAGACAATTTGCAATTCATGGAGGATATCATGCGCCTGCTCGTCCCATTGCTGTGACAAAGACCTTTTCCTTCTCTTCTTTTTTGACAAGGATCTGCAAAACAGCTTTGTATTTATTCAGAATATTGATGAGGTTTAAAATGAGAACACCTCCCATTTTGATTTTATGTTAATCCGCCATTGATCTTAGTGTTTAATGCTTACTATTTTACACACGTTTTCTAAATAAATTTATAGAATATATTTACAGTTGTATATTTTGAAATTAATTACCCTAAACTCTTGTTCTATGATAAAAATAAATAAATAAATAAGATGCAAAGAGAGTCTTACATTAAAATCCAGGTCCGATCGGCTCATTTTCCCACTAGCCTTTACGATCACCAAT